AATACTAAAACATTCAAATCGCTTCGAGTTCAGTATGCACAACAGAAATTAATCCACGTTTAAAGCGCACTGGATTATAAGGCGCACTGTTATTTTTAAAGAAAATCAAAGGCTTTTTAGTGCGCCTTATAGTGCGGAAAATACGGTATACAGTTATCATGTTAGACTTATTATTTTTGCATTCAACATCATATTTACAAATTTATGCACGTCAGATTCATGTTTTTGCATGAAGCATTGCTCCCATACAAAATTAATAATAGACACAGACTTTTCTAAAATTTATTAGCGGTGCTCCTGCCAGGAAAGCGATGAGGGAACTTTCTGTGAACTCATCACCCACCTACAAAGCACATGCTGCTGAGGTGGGGTCATGTGGCTGGCGTCCTCCTATAGGTCAATACCCTGCGCTGCGCTGGCGGCATCCACCAGTCAGCAGTCAGCTTGCATCCTGCCGCAGACCCCACATGGGTCCAAGGACAGCCACAGCTGGCTCTCTGGAAAGGTCTCATTGGTTCCCTATAATCTGGCGAATTTAACAGGCCCTCGCATGCAAGCAGAATCTGACTCAGGTGGAAGTGTGGACTAATTAGTCATCGCCAGGCTGTTCCACGGTGCTGCAATGAGCAAAATTCTCCAAAAGATGACAAACACAGTATACACACAAAATTTCTTACCACTTATCTGTTAGTGTTTTAAACTTGTTGTAAGAGCGTAAATATACGTATTTTATGTGCATTTGCACTACTGTTACAAGAAATGACTGCATTTTAACCTTTATGCCACAAATTAAGTTCGAATTTGTATATAAAGGTTCAAATGCACAGTAATTTCTTGTCACAGCAGCGAAAATGTACATACAATATGTATGCATTTGAGCTGTTACACCAGTCGATTGCTGCACTGTTGCTTCTAAAGTTGCTTCTAAAGGTGAAGACGTACTTGCATACCAGATATTTGCATCCCTGATTATAGCCAATCTTGTAAAGTATTATAAGGTTTGTATGATAAATAATGTTCTGATGACATTCCATGTAAAGCAAGTGCAAGGCAGCCCTTAGAATTTGTGTCTTCCGGATGTAAACTAAAGCCTGGATGTTTCTGGACACCACCGCAATGTGCCTGCGAATGACGCGTTGCTCCCCTGCAGGGACCACATCGGAGGAGGGGGTGGTATTCATATACGGGGTCTTCAACTACCACGTGTCGCAGGTGGAGTCTGTCTTCTACACCACCGCCATCTTCAAGCAGCACACCCTGAAGATCCTGCAGAAGTACATGCCACTGTACAAGGACACGGACCTGAGGGTCATGATGTCGCAGGTGAGAGCCCGAGGAAGAGTGCTGCAGTAACGCTACCCGAAGAACCCTTCGGCGCTGCAGCTTAGCGCATGGGAATGATGTTAAATGCATTTCAGCAAGAAGCATGCAATGGTCATGCAGGCACAGGGTCCAGACTCCGATTCATGGAGGACAAAGTAGGAAGGATAAGGGGCAGAGTCATTCCCAAGGACGCATTGCTTAAGAAGACACCAAAACCAAATCAGAGCCTGAGCCAACCAAGCTTATCCTGGCAGAGATCAGCTCAAGACTCAGCAATGGCGAATGGGGGCCCGGGACTTTAAAAGCCCCCCCCCCTCCCCAGGTGGGGATAATCCTTACTTAATTGATTGACGACACCACCCACGCAGCTCTGCAGCAGCGAGGCCACAGGCGCAGAACGGACGCAATAGCAGCGGAGTTGACCTGGAAAACATTTTAAAATGACACCTCATGTTGCTAGAAACTCAAAGCCCATCCACACATCCCAAACATATCTTTCACTTTTTGTTTTTATCTAGCATAAAATTATAGTAAAGCATATTTTAGTGTTTAAGGTAAGTACCAAAACAAACATGAGTAAATGATGTATAGAAAGTACTACCAAAACTTTCTCATGGGTTAATTAAACAAATAATATGTTGCCGTCCTCAAGGCTTTTATAATTGACCCAATTGCCCTTTGTTTTGTATTCCATGGCCAGACAATGATACCTTTGGGACTCCTTTATATATGTGATATACAACAAATACTGAGTTATGTTTGGTGGATAATTATAATGCTTACTTACTATGTTACATACATATATATATATACACATAATAAGAAAGCTGTAAAATGAAAAATAGGGCATTTCTGTTAATGCATCTGGGGTCACGAATCACTGGGGCTGCGTGTCTCAGTAGCAAAATGGCCACCGGGTGGCGCCATTGTTCCATCACCAATAGAAACTGTCTTTTTGGCTGCACCAGCCTGGCTGGCTTCAGGGTGCAGTCTGGCCCAGGAACCTGCAGGTGGCCTCAATGGTCTGGGTCTTCATTGTCCAGGAATCAGAAACAGACACCTGGCTCATGGTAATCAGTCAGAAGGCACACACCAGAATACACAAATGTACGCTTACTCACAGAAGGCTCGAGGCACATGCAAGAATACACAGATGCACATGGATTCACAGAAAGCTCAAGGCACAGACCAGAATACACACGTGCACGCGGACTCACAGAAAGGTCAAGGCACAGACCAGAATACACACGTGCACGCGGACTCACAGAAAGCTCAAGGCACACACCAGAATACACACACGCACGCGGACTCACAGAAAGTTCAAGGCACACGTCAGAATACAAGCTTGAGGCTGGCACACAAACACTCACACGATCTCACACGCTGACCTTCCTATGCACTGAGCTCAGAAGACAGCATGAACCCCAGGCAAAGTTCTGCAGCTTCTACACTGCTACAGCTAGGAGGACATGTTTCATTGGAGATTAAACCTGAGCAAAGGCAGCAGGCAGAGTGTGGGGGAGCGGGGTGATTCTGGGTGTGTCTCTGAAATGGTTATCCTTCAGAGGGTGTGTGAGAGGGAAGTGAAGGACAGACAGAGGGGGGCGTCAAAGGTCAGGACCAAAAGCAGGAAGCTTATCTCCATCTGGCGCTTGGACCAAGCTGCCTGACAGGCTTTGAAACAGCGCCCCCCCCCCCCCCCCCCCCCCCCCCAAGGCCATGCCCGGGGGAGGGCAGCATGTCCCACACAGTGTGGGTGTGGAGGGAGGAGGAATGGAGGACGAAACGACCTGGTCAGTGGCGTCCATGGAAACCCGACAGGGAAGCGCTTAGGGTGGGTTAGAAGCGGCCCCAAGAATGTTGTGTGTGTCTGAGTTTAGATGATTCTATGCGTGGGTGTGTAGCAATAAATATATGTGTGTGTGCGCGTATGTGCATTCATCTATGTTTGTGTGTGTTTCCATCTCGGTATCTCGGTATAAATGATTGGATGTAAAAAATGTGTAAAATGTGTAAAAAAAAAAACAATATGCAATATTTTAATTTTAGAATATCAGGATAAATGATAATAACCCCCCACATACACACATAAGCAACGTGTGAAAGCATGAAATGATATACAGATAATCCACTAAACAGCTGCCGTTTAAAATTGCTGGGGGGAGGGGCGGGGGGGGCTGATTAGTGGTGCTGATCATTGTTTTTTTTAGTCTCTGTGGAAAATGATTGATCGGCGGGCTGGATTTAATTACGATTTTCAACATGTCACAAACAGTCTACAATCATCTATAGCAGTGGTTCACAAATTTATGGCAAGCCCTTTGCACACACCAACATAATAACCAACATTTACATACACTAATACCTCCATGTGCCATACAAGGGCTAACAATATAATTCCAATGTGTTCTTTTCTAACTGCATCACAAATGTAGGTTAGAAGGCTGAACTGAAAGCCAAATCATAAATCTTGCTTTGTGTACAGCCTGAGCCTACTTCCTGGACAAAGGCAATATTCGCCGAACAGTCACTGTCAGATATCGACATCGGTTCACTTGTCTGATATCGTTGATTATCGATAATATCATCGTATCGCCAGGGGCGACTGTAGGAGTTTTTTAGATGGGGTGACACAGGGGGAACCAAGCACCAGTCAGGGAAGGCCCATGGGAAATCAGAAAATTCGATCAGAAATATATACAGCGTTGAAAATTGGCTTACAAAACAATGAACATAATAGATTTTACGTTCCCATTGAAAATCATGAGAGGTCTTCTATTGTGCATTTTTTGATTCGTGTAATTGTGAAAAAGACGGTACTGTGATTTTTGCATCGTAGATCAGGCAGCGATTGAAGGCGCTCTGATCCAATGGCGATGACGATTATCAAATTGTTATAGAATGAAATGCTTTTTTAAAAACAAAGTAGCATTCAAAATTCTGAGGATAAATTAGGTTGTTTTGTGCCCCACTTCACACGCTGGCCACTAGAGGTCACCTGTACATATTTCTCTTGTTGTCTGCACTCCCCAGATCGTGACCGATTATATGTTCCTGTGCCCTTCCCGCAAGTCGGCCCGCGACAGTGCCCAGATGGGCAGCGCTGTGTGGATGTACGTCTTCGACCACGTGATCAGCGACCACCGCGTCTGGGACGGCCTGGCCTTCTGCTTCGAGCACGTCTGCCACAGTGCTGAGGTGCCCTTCCTGTTTGACTCCGGGCCCGTGGCAAACTTCACTCTCTCGCCGGCTGAGGAGCTGCTCGCAGGCAGCATCCTGTGCTACTGGGGCACTTTCGCACATGGAGGCGATCCCACCTCCCCGGTCGCCCAAAGCGCCTTTTGCCAACGCCAGAGCCCACCCCCTTGGCCGCAGTACACGGATGCAAACAATTGGCTAGTGATGAACCTCACTTTGAGCAGTCACGCCCAGACAAGCTCCCGGGACCACATCTGTGACTTCTGGGACAAGCTTCACATTTACTAGGGCACGTGTCTGACCTCTCAACTGGTTAACTAATTCATCACACTACACATCTTAATGCATCATAATTAAATTTTAATGTGATGTCATCTCTATCTGAACGCAATGTGAAAGGCCTTCTCCTGAACGCTGTAACTGCCTTGTTAAGTACGGCTGCTTTGATTTAAATTTTTGTTTGATTCAGCCATCATATTTGCATTAATGAATCCCCAACTCCTGCGTTCTGCGACCATGCCTGTGATGTGCTTGCATTACTTTCCTAATGTCCGCTAGATTCATGCTATGCAGCAGCCAATCAGCTGGCTGTCTCAGCGCTCGAGTTTCCTTTTATGGCTGTGGGCTCACGGTCACATGGCCCTTTGCCCCACCAGAGCCCCTGTCTGTAAACATTTTGACCTTCACGCATGCAGCCAGTTGTGGAATGACTGATATGCATTTATGTGTTACTATCAGAAATGGCCTCCTTCTTGTCCCTGAAATCTACTTGGGTTAATAAAGCTGAGATGGATCTGACAGAACTCCAGTGTCAAAATGCCAGAACTTCATATACAGTGTCTTGTTTGGTAGAGGGACATGAAACTGATATGAGCTGACCCGGAAATGAAATGCTTAAGCAGTGGCATGACCCAGAAGTGGTATATGTAAGCACCGGAGTGACCCAAAAGAGTATACTTAAATGGACCAGGAGTGTGATACTCCTGGTAGAAACGGACCTGATACAAGCTATTAGAGTTACATCTTGTGCTGGCTGATAAAATTGTTTCAGGTTTTGTCTCCAAATTATATCACAAACATCCAAATATAAATCAAACACTCTTGCGATTTAGGGAATGCTAACGATCCAACAAAAGCTAACAATCCCACATGGACCAGATTCTCTCATTGTTCTCTGACTAGTCAGGCACTTCAATATTTATAAAAAATCTACGCACATTAGGGATTAGCAGAACTGCAGTAGCTCTTACCTTGCTGCAGGGAAGCAGAAACGTGTTTGCTGCCATCTAAGCTTTTGCTTTCTGTCACTTTAAGCATAACATCCCTTCCAAGAGATGACGTTAAAACTTCTGTGTCCTTAGGGCAGGCAGGTATATTGGTGTGATATTACCACACCTCTGCAAGTTTATTGCCTTGTGAAACAATACGCGGATATATGTGTTTTTGTGATATTCCTCTGTTCACAAGGGAGGCTGTGCACTGTAATGCGATTGTTTCAGATACAACCCCCCGGAAGCTCAGAGGGCTTACTCAACTTTTACTTCTGCTTTACCTAATTTATTACTCAACATTCATCCCTTAAGGTGTGTAATAAGAATGGAGAGAAACAGCATCACCTAATGGAATCGTGACAACCAAGAATAGCAAAACACATGACTTATAAATCATTTGAGTTCATGCATCATGGACAGGTAGTATGTACACAAATGTTACATCTGTGTTTTTTTTTAAAACACTCTTCTCCATATATGGGAGGAAGAAAGGGTATTGGATCTTATGTTAATTTTGGACATTAATGGAACTGTGTGCTCTGCTTAGTATCAGTATTGTTAGAGAGATGTTTCACATTCAGTGATGTTCTCAAAGTTATAAACATTCAACTGAATCAGTTCATAATTCATAATTAAAAGAACCACATGCACATTTAATAACAACAAAAATATTATTGTCCTCGGGGCACTCTGATTCCCCCCCCTCAAAGTCGAAAAGCATGTCGAGGTGAGTTTGAGTTCTCAAATCGTCCGTAGGTGTTACCATTCATGCATGGTGTGTGTGTTCTGCAGTGGGCTGGCAGCCCGTTCTGGGTTCAAAGCTTTCGGGATTAGCTCCAGGTCCCGGTGACCCTGCATAGGACCAGTGATATGTAAAATGGATGGATAGATGATAATAACTATTATTATTGTTGTTGTTGTTGTTGTTGTGATGCCTCCAGTGTCTATAACACTTCTCACTCCAAAATCTCAATAAAATCACAATAAAGACAAATTTACTAATTTAGGAGGGGTAACTGCAATTGAACCAAGAAACTGAGACTATTTTTTCCCTATTTGTGGTCATGCTGATCTGATTTTTGAAATGTGGGTGAGATATCCATCTATCCATCTTCCATGCTGCTTGTCCAGTACAGGGTTGTGGTCAGCAGATGAAATATTAGATTACATTTAACTTTTTTTGTCATTGCATAAAGTACAAGTATACAGACAACGAAATGCAGTGTCCACTTATGTGGATGTATTAAAGAAACTAAATTGTTCCCATTGTGTCACTTTCATTCTCTGACCGCTGCATGTGGGCACTCAGTGACACCAAAAACCAAGGCCAGGCAGTGATAAGCAGCCCTGTTCACACATTAAGACGCCGAGCAGGTATCCACATGACAGTTAGTGTATGTGTACATACTCAACGGATATGCAAACTTCTGAACAATAAGAAATTATATGTGTTAGCTGTAGGTTATGTACAGAGGCAGTACTTCTCTCCCCCAGTGAAATGTAAACTCTGCATCCAAAGCTTATCGCAGCCTTTTGCTAACTGGAATGGTAAGTTTTACTGCTGTGTTAGGTTTCAGGGAAGGTTGGGTCTTGTATTGGAAGCACCTGCTCGAAGGTGATTCGATTCCAAATGACGGTGCTGGTTACAGTGGAACTGGGGAGCACTGGGGCAGGCCAAATTACACCTTTATGCAAATTCGAGACAGGATCAGGGAGCCTTCAGAAATCCCTGTCACGCTGCTTCTCTCTCCTGGGCCTCGAACAGCTCACTGTACTCATCATCACCATTTCTGTGCTTCACAGTAAGACTTTCCCTGCACTCATCAGTAAGACCATCTCTGTGCTTCACAGTAAGACTTTCCCTGCACTCATCAGTAAGACCATCTCTGTGCTTCACAGTAAGACTTTCCCTACACTCATCAGTAAGACCATCTCTGTGTTTCACAGTAAGACTTTCCCTACACTCATCAGTAAGACCATCTCTGTGCTTCACAGTAAGACTTTCCCTACACTCATCAGTAAGTCCATCTCTGTGCTTCACCATAGGACTTTCCCTACACTCATCATCAGTAAGACCATCTCTGTGCTTCACCTTAGGACTTTCCCTACACTCATCAGTAAGACCATCTCTGTGTTTCACCATAGGACTTTCCCTACACTCATCATCAGTAAGACCATCTCTGTGCTTCACCTTAGGACTTTCCCTACACTCATCAGTAAGGCCATCTCTGTGCTTTTCAAGTCCCTCGACTCCCATCATTAAGACACCTTTATTCCTCAGACCGTTCTCCATGGTCTGGAAGTCTAGTAATACAGGTCATTGTTCACAAGGAAGCAATTAGTGAGACATTCAGATGCTCTGATAATGATATAAGAAAGTGATCGCTGTTTATTTTGGCCTAGATGCGTGTTGTATGACTGCAGTCTTAACGAGATTTTCATCTTGAGGAAAATGTGCTTATGCACGAAAAATATAACTTGCTGGTTTCTGTCTCTATTATTTAATCAAGAAGTTTCACAAACAAAAAGCTTGAGGCCAATCATTTTAAAGAGATTCAGCACACTATTGATGTGCTGAAAGAAAAATACAAGATTTAGCTTTTTACTATATGACAGCAGTTGTTAAGAGTGTATTCATTAATTCCTGGCTATTGTTTTAGCACATGTTTCTGCTAATAAACAAGATGTTTAAAAAATAGAAAATATGTCATCTAATGACCATCTGAAATGTTAAGCTGAAACGGGCTTTGTTTTGTTTTTTATCATTGCTTTTCATTAAAAAAAAAAAACAGCCTTCATGGTCACCTGCACATGTTTATCTAGAAGAGGTTAATAGCAAATACAGTGAAGAGATTAGCTGTTCAGCGAGGTGACGACTTTTTAAAATTTTAGGAACTGAAAAAGGATTTCATATGTCATGTGAGAAACTATAGTGTCTATTCCACAGTTCTGGGAACTGCGTGTGTACAATGTCTAGACTTATATTTATCTAGTATTTGGGCAGGTATTTACAACGCCGTAACGGGCAGCTTGGTGTACAGTGTCTGTTCTGTTACCTCATCGTGAGAAATGCTACACCCTCTAAATGGAGCACAAACCGCTGTGTTATTCAGGCTACTGTTTAACTTATAGTGTCACACCAGGCCTTCTAACCACATCCTTGGTCCTCCACATGGAAGTCCATCTCCCATGTGCAAACAGGCCCCGTTTCTCCAAACTGTTTGCCAGGTATCGCGGTTCATCTTCCACCCGCAGGGCAGCCGCCTCCCCAGAGACACCGACTAGCACCGTTTCCCTTGACAGCTTCTCCTAGCCCTACGTGGCCTTTGCAAACAGGGGCTAATACTAAGCTAGCTGGTGCACATGGGATTATCTGTTTGCTTGCTAGCAGTAGGTGGTAACCCATTGTCTATATCAGTTGTACCATTGGGAACAGGATTTGTGGAGGCACAAGCATTTCCTCCACAGGCGCTCAAAGTTCAGAAGACCCAAAAGTGTCCACCAGGCTTTGGGTTGGCCATTAACAGTGCTGACAGTTTCTGTATTTCAGTCTGATGCAACCATGATCACCGATGTTCTACGTGAGGCCTTTGGAGTCTAATTAAAATGCTGGAGTGGTATTAATGAGGCTCGCGGGCTACAGGCAGAGAGGGTTGAAGACATTCTCAATAACATCTCATTTTGTGGACCGTGGAATATCACCCCAACTTCAGCAAAAATGGATTGGGTGCATTAACTTTGTCGGTTGTAGCCTGTGCATATTGCATGATAAGGCCTAAAAGAGGGGGACACTTGCAGACCCTCATAGTCATAAAGGTTTTGAAGTTATGTGCAGCTATGGGGAGAATAATTATACTGCAAGCCTCTCAAAAGCACCAGGAGATTTAACGAGGACTGTAACACAGGCCCCTGTGACTTAAATGAGTCGATCACACTGATACACATCGCTTCCAGAATCATCTATGCATCTATGTGAGATCAGCTTCCCAAGGCTCAAAAGAGTATAGAATTCTGGCAAAAATCAAAAGACATTGCAGACATATGACCACGGATCTGATGGAATCTCTAAGTCATTGCATCATCGCTTTCATTGTCCGTATAAATCATTTTAACAGTTATTTGTGCAGCTGATCCCAGCTGCACCCAGAAGCACATGCCTGAAATCCGGTAAAATCTGTCAGTAAACATTATGACTTTCGCTGCCACCAGTCGCAGAAAAATTGTAGTGGAGACACATAATAACTGTCAAACTGCAAAAAAAGCATGAAATTTCAAAGCTCTGGCTTTTACTTTTGTTTTCATTTGACCCCAAAAAAGCATCGTCGCGTAGCGATCAGGACGTACAATCTTGTCACCTGTATCTAATGTCCCTGCCACCGGGGGTTGGAGCCTGCAGATGAGCCAAAGCTCCACTCCGTAAGCGATACCCGACACCACCCGCCTATAGACAGCGATGCCAAAGGTGACATGGGGGCGGTTGGGCGCCGGGGGGCATTCTGGAATCACGGCTTCCTCTCTCCTGCTTGGCGGAG